CGATATACTTTATAAAAACAAAAACAGTAACAATAACAATAAAATCCTTTTAATATCAATTGGACGCCAAAACAAAGTTTAGTTAGTTTATGAAAATCACAAATGGAGCAAATTGAAGGCAAATGATTAATACGCCTATTATTTAATTGCAATAGTTCTTATACTTCCGAGCTTTTGGCAATCCTTCGCCCAGCAATCCAATCAAGTTGATCAATAAGAACATGTAAAAACACTATGATCTATGGTTAAGTTGAACACAAGAAAACTAGACGGACGGGAAGTGATTCTGAATCGATCGGTATAATAAAGGATGGATCTATCTATCTTCAAAAGTCTTCCAAATCGTTTTTTTTTTTTTCTTTTTTCTGAATTGATCTAAGCCTGTGTGTCTACCTGTCTGTCCTTCCGTCTAATGTCTGTCTATTGTTTGTCAGTGTTTGTGTTCCAACTAAAAATCGCAAATTTTTGATATATTTTAGTTGAAATTTGTTGTTGCATTCACCCAAGAACGAATGCTTGCTATTGAAAATGACTTGGATCGATTCATTTTTGCGAATACGAAAAAAAAAAAAATTTGCAATTTTCAAAATTTCTCGACAACAGTCGCTGGGTAATAGTATTTGGATATTCTAAATTGATTCGGTAGCGGCAATTCTGTGAACAGTCTCTCATCTAACGAGACGTTTCCATAAAATCAAATCTTCATAGATTAAAAATTTTTTTAAAACTTATGTCATTCTCTTCAAAAAATCATATTTCATTTTCGTGTACGCGTCACTAGACATCTATCTATTCGCATTCAATATCGAGCAATGTCGAACATAATTTTCCCTCTTGGGATGATGGCTTTTGATATCGAGTTAATTTTAAAAAAATGGTAGTGCACTAACGGCATTCGTTGACATATGAATTTCTTTCGATAACGAATGTCAATCAACTCTCATAATTTTCTTCTTTTTTTTTTTTTTTTGAAAATAAAAAATTACTATCGAGAAATGTATTCAGATGCGGAAAGAAAGTAAAGTACCGTTGGAAAAAAACACATATTTGAAGGAAGTAAAAAATGCATAATCGGGATAACCCGATTTTTAAATACCAAAACTTATACGTTACTCTTATATAAACGCATACTTTTCTTGCATAAAAAAAAAAAAGGAAATCTCGCGATTAGGTTCTATGTCGAATTACGATTGTACGAATTTTGACCATTTTTACACCCATAACCGAAAGATGAGGGGTATATTCGTTTAGTCAAAACATTCGCAACACCCAGAAGGATACTTAGGGGACTCCGTTAAGTATATATATATATATATATATTTATTTTTGATTAGCAGCAAATTCTGAATCGATTTAAGATCATAACTGATACGAGGAAATAGTAAACTATTTCAACTAATGATTCCATGTAAGGCTTTAAAAAGTGACTGGTGATCAAATAAGATCACACTTTAGATTATTGACAAAGTTCTGTTTGTAATTTTAAGAATAAGAATAGCGAACGTTCAAGGTTAAACGCAATTACCATGAATGAATTTATTTACTATGTCATGGATGAAATCGTGCTAACAATGTTTCGAATACCACTCACACCATAGTTCGTGCTTTATAATCAAATTCTTACTAACCCATGCTTGATAATAGAAAGCAAGCCTCGAGACATTGATGTGGTGTACACCAAAAAAGTCTCTTCCTTCTTACATAGATCGTAAAATTTCTCTTCTTAATCGTACACACATAGTGCTTTTCCACTTCTTACATAGCTTTGCGGGACGAGTAGGGTCGGTCTGTTCAAACCGTATATAAAAGACATTCAAGTCTTTCACTTTACGCGATAGTGATTGCCGCTGGTTCTCGGTAAATCATCTTTAAAAATAGACAAGTAAGACTACCTTGTATTAAAGATAGAAAGGGAAATAAACTATTGGGCGGGCAAGACTGATTTTTGTCCACTTTTGCACTATAGGATCACCTATGGATTATATTTGGAAATTGTATATGAGACTAATGAGTAAAAAATTTAACTTTTGTTTTTTTTTTTTTTTACTTTTCACGACAAAGGTTCTTTTAGTTGACATTGTGGACGTAGCCTTTGACCGACTTGGCTTTTATTATTAAAGCCAGCCTTTGTGCAAGAACTTTTCAAATGCGTTTACTACCACAATGTCTTAGACTATTTACAACAAATATTACGCGAGCCGACGGACGGACACACATTAAAACTCAATCGCTTCAGAAAATAATATACTGGTTAAAATTATGTAATACTTTATAGCGTGTCGGCTACTTTGTTTCGAGTGTTGCCTGACGTAAAGACCTTAGAGATGGTTAGGAAGTATCGAAAACGTTTGAAATTAGACAAGAAACCCAAATTACATAATTTTCCAGTCAAGCGTTAGCAGATGTCAATCAACAACTTTTTACATATATATATAGAAAGCTCCACTTCAAATTTGTTCCTAGGCGAATGTGAAGACTAAAAAAAAGTTCTTATAAGCTAGCTCAAGAATCTTTTATTAATTTCTATGATTAATCAAAAAACTTCTCCGACAGAACGCACTCATGTCGCTTGAATTGAGCTTGTGTTTATCATCAGAAAAGGATGATAGGATTATCGCGGTAAGCCGGCATGCTCAGGTTCGCTTTCTGGTGCAATAGACATAATTTATACAAAAAAATTAAAAACAATAAACTAATTGCTCGCATATAACCCAGGAATTATATATAAATTGTACTGTACGACAACAACATGTATGACATAAACACGAAAGGAATAAAATGTAGAAAAGAAGTAAAAAGTGATTCCGAAACCTGTAACCGAAATCTTCGATTTTGAAACCTGTAACTTTTCATATGAATTTGTAATTGATGGTCAGGTCAAAAATCGGGCATGATCGGCCGACAACAACACCCGTACCCACTACAAAAACAAACTTTAACTTACCATCTGTAATCAATATTGATTTAAAAATAGTAGACGAAATGTTTTAACATTTTATTGTCTATGAGAGATATTGATCTGTGAATAGTTCAACTATTTTGCAGTGCCATGCAATATGATAAGAGCAAAGTAATTTGCAATTTTATCTAATGATTTGACGGCAAAAAATTCAGATTGGTTTGTCATTTGTTCCCCATCGGCTTAGAATATATTATTCCTTTCACAGTGTTTCAGTATACCCTACATCATTTAAAGCACAAAAGTATATTAAGTTTGTGCAACTCCCAAAAGGTCTTGCGATAGGTCCACCCTTTGTTACACAAATCAATTCAAAATCACTTCCCGAATTGATTTAAGCCTGTCCATGCATCTGTCCGTCTTGATTTCTTGCGTTCAACCTACCGATCACAAATTATTGAGATAATTTGATGAAATTTGGCATAGGGACATGTTTTGGGTCCAACGACAAAACCTATTGAAAATGATTCGGATAGAAGCACTTTCACAAGTTCTTCTCTTATAAAGCCTTGTTTTGAAAAGTTGTTATATAAATAGCTGTGGATTGGTGCTGGGTGTTTAATGGTGGGCCATCACCCCTATAATTGTTTTCACTTGTTCTTAATTTAAAGAAAAAAAAATTACTTTCGCTTGTATAGCAATCATTTATATCTGCCTTATATGTAAAAATTGAAAATTAAATTATGACAGGGGCGTGTTAATTAACAGTGTGTTTACATTGAACTTTTAAATGGTTGTTGAAAATAGTTTTTCATCGTTATTCACAATACTTGGCTTATGAAATGTAGGCGTGGTTGACACTTACTTTTAAAGTTGATTTACTTAAAAAAGTATAATTTTTTGCGCTAAATTGCATTTCTCTGTTTCAATTTTTAGCGTTCCAAACATGACGAGCAAGCTAAAGGACATAAATAAATATGCTATAAATTAGTTGCTGTTCGCCACTATTTGTAGTGTCGTCGTCCCATTGGCCTAGGCCTAACCGTTTTCTGTTGCAAACTGATAACCGATCTACCGGAAGGAGCTAGTTACACTTACTAATAGAATATTTGTTCTATTGTAATAAAATTGATATGAATTAAAAAAAAATATATTTTAGAAGATACCCTGCACAATTTAAATTTAGACAAACTGCAATAACAAGTTGTGATATAACATCCTAATATCTAAGCTTCCGCGTATCCAAGGCCTGAAAAGTTTAAAAAAAAACAGAAAAAAAAAAAAAAATTCTTTGTCGCAAAAGAGATTTGTAAGAAAAACTCAATATTTTTAACCTTTGTTTCAATTTAACGAATTAAAATCGTTGAAATTATTATAACTGATTCGAAATCTAGACTCTAGACCAGGGGATAAAAATTTTGAATACAAAACACAAAACAATTTCCTTTCAAACTCTATGCTTTGTTATGGTTTTCCTCGCACAATTGCGCGAAATATGTGCAAGAAAAAAGCTTAACATTCAATTAAATTTAATAAGAAAGAGCGTTGAGCATAAAATAAGAACGAAATGATCAATCTTCGCAAAGTAAGCACATACAAGAGATCGTCTGGTATTAGTATAACAAATAGTCGCTGACAAAGCACTCTTGAATATTTTATGAATCTTTGGAATTTATTGGCACCGTAATAATAGCCAGCAATTGCGCCAGACAAAACTTATTAATCAAATATTTGCTATTACTTGCTCCATATGTTTGCAACAAGTCATAGGTTAGCTTTGGCTTTTCTTCTATTTTCTAATTGCTTTGAATTCTACAAAACGTGCGTTTTACTAAAACGTTACATCACAAGATCGATTATATTAAATAATTTTTCGCAAACTAAATGCAAAAAGGAGGAAAATTGAAAAAAGTTGCATAAAAATTTATCATATTAAATAAAATAAATTGCTTTACTGCTTTGTAAAAAGTGCAAAAACAAATAAGTTGTAATTGTATTTATTACTCGCCGCCATAAAATTGGCATTTTGCTGATAATATACTCTTATCAAACTTTTTAGTGCTTGAAAAGGGAATTAAATGATCGGGTGTTCCTTACTTACCGGTTATGGAGACTATCGTTCTGCAAGATATTTACGATCTTTTCCAGACTTTAAAGCAAAACAATCTCAAACTTTTCTTGCTAATATTTATATAAATAGAGAGACACGCACTTTTGTTTGGAATGTCTTTACTTTCCAATTGTTTCAATTTAATTTTTATTTATATATATATATATATATATATGTATATATCCATTTTCTTATTTTGTTTATTTTTATGCAATTTTCATGAAATTCATATATTTAATAAGAAATTTTGGTTGAGTTTATTGTTTTAAACACTGGTACTCACTTTTCCGCTTCTTCTGTCTTTAAATATTTGATAAACTTACATTGGTATATGTCTACTCATGTATGGCTGTTATCTAAATATTTACTTGCTTTTTATTTAGAATTCAATTAATCTTAATAAATGAAAGAAAAACAACTAGATATGCGGTGCCAAAAAACCGCACAACCCAAACACTTACAAGTTTTTCACAAATCTGTCAAATTGTCATACAAATCCATATGAGAAAGAGAAAGCACTTGAGCAACATATGATTGTAGAAGCAGAGTTACCATATCTATCGTATGCACCCGACATGTATCAAATATTGAAATTTATTAATTATTTACATTAGCAAATGTATAACGCCAATTAACTTGGAATTTTACTTTTGTCTGCACTGTTTCAAAATTTTTCAAAGTTATGTATATTGTTATTTGCATATTTTGCACTAAAAATATATATTTATTTATGAATTCACAATGAATTAATAACATATCTGTAGTATAATAATAATACAAAAGCAAACATTACAGCTGATTTTTCAAAAACATTAGAAACTTGAGTAACGAAAGCATTAAAGAAACGTGTTTGATATTGTTCACATTAGATTATCCCTTTTTTGAAAATTGTAAACATCAATCAACTATTTAAAAACAAACAATTGCGTCTTTTTTTCTATCCAACTAAAAGAAAGATATAAGCAACCTTTCATCATGGGTATGGCACAAAAACGTAAAAAAATGCATTCTGGAGATACTCATTTGCGGCGTCGCTGGCGTACACGTAATCGTAAACGTGATTTAGATGAGATTGATAATGATTTACGTACAAAATCCAGAGAATTAATAAATCAGCCCGTAGATTTAGATAAACCTGGTTTTGCTCAATTCTATTGTGTACACTGCGCTAAATACTTTATAAATGATACCGCCTTGCAGTCCCACTTCCGTACCAAAGTACATAAGCGACGTTTGAAAGCATTGGAAACAGAACCTTACAGCTTGGAGGAATCAGAACGTGCAGCCGGTCATGGTAGCTACATAAAACCAAAGACACGCCAAATGGAAACACAACCAAGTAAAGAAGATACTAAAGCTGGTAAACTAATTAAACCGGAAGAAAGCTCGATTGATAATAAAAAATCATCAAGTGCCCAAAAGATGGAAACATAACTATAAAATTTGAACTATTCTCTGTAACTTAAATAAATGAATTTGGCTATCCTTGTTTACATTTCAAACTTCCTAAAAGATGGTGTAGTATAGTTATGATATTAATTTATGACTTTTTGGGAACACTTACAGATGCACATTATAATTCGTACGTAGGAGAAATATTCACCACCGCGAAACTCTCAGCTCATAACATTGGCCTATTAACCTATCATTCCATCATCAGTTTTCAAATATCAAAAAAGCTGAAGTCTATATTGTTATTGTTGATCAAATCGCACTGACCAATTTGCATCTCTTCTTTTTAAAAATCTGCTTAGCTCTCAGCTACCAATCGTAAATATATGAAAGTAAAAAGAAATAGCAGTACAATACCAACCATACTCATAAAAGAAAATGAATTCTTATCTAGGATAAAAGAAAAAAAAACAAGTTGTACGTAATTAAAATCACAACGGACCAATTTGAAGTTGAATACACATGCATAAAAGAGGAAAGTAACAAGTAAAACCAAAAAGCAGATATGTTTAGAAACTTATAAAACGCTTCTTTTTTTTTTTAATTTATTTAAAGTAAATATGAGAATAAAGAAAAAGAGTTCAACCTAATTAAAGTAATTTTTCCCTTTTTACAAATATATTATAAAAATCAAACTAAATTACGCCACTGAGCAAGTGGTAAGAAAAGAGGTCGATTTGCACTTACTTTTTTTTCTTTTCTTAGGATAAAAAGCATTCAAGTTGCAAGTTGATTGGTTTCTTAGGTCTTTAAATTGGAATAAATAAGTTAATGAATGCAATGAAATTTAAAAATTCTTTTTTTTTTTTTTTTCAATATGCTGCGTATATGTGTATAAATATATATACATATATTTACAATAATTTTCAAAACAAAACTTAAACAAATTTCTTAACAAGGATTTCTTCGTCCTTACTTCGTTCTTCCTATACAGGTTTTATACAAACATTTAAATTTATAAAGAAAATCACCAAACATATATACAAGGCATAATATAATATTCTATATTAAATGATTTCTCTTGGTATGTTTAGAGGTTGCGGGGTAATAAAATTAATAAATTTTGCAAAAATCATCTAAAGAGGATTCCAAAAAAATTGTAATAAAATTATAACACACGACAATTTTTACGGTTTGAGAGTAAATCGTTATCATTATTTGTGAGATTTCTTCGGTGAATCACCAGCAGCGGCCAGTGAGAGTTGAGCATTATCTTTGGTCGAGCCGGTAGACGGTACTTTATGAGATGTTGAGGTAGCATTGTTATTATTGAAACTTTCCTGAAAGAATGGATGGTTGAGGGCTTCATCGGCGGTTATACGCTTGTGTGGATTAACTTCAAGCAATTTATAAAGCAAATCGTAGGCACTTGCTGGGAAGACATCGTCGCCATCCAAAGGCTCGGTAATGTAATTCGATTCGACACATAGGCAATTAAAAAAAAATTGATCACAGTTTTTGCACACCTCGCAGGTGCCATCGGGTTTTTGATACTTCTTGAGCAGCTCTGGTGAACTAAACTTTGCGCGGTTACGAAAGCGTACGCATAATTTGCGCAAGTCAAGGGGTTTTGTCTTTTGGCTCAACGTTACCAAACGATCCAAAATAAAAGCAGTCTTACGTATAGTTCTATCACCAAATATTGTAACCATTTCGGCCAAGGCTACATAATCATTTGGGGCCTTAAAAAATGGATAGACCGATGACATGATGGACAAGAATATGACTCCAGCGGCCCATACATCAACTGCTGTAGTTTGATCGGGGTATTTGAGAAGAACTTCAGGTGGGCGATAGCCAGGCGTACCCGCACGCGAGGCATGTATTTCTTTTTTAACTAAGCAAATGTTACAGACTTGAGGATTACCATAACAATAACACTTGGCAGCATTCGACGTAGGTGCTAGGTTTCGATTGGTATTGTATTTATTCTCCACCGCACCATTCTGCATAGTAGGCACCAAAGCATTTGATATATTAGTTGCTGCTGCCCCCGTAGGAGAAACTTTGCCACCAGAATTCCCATCAGCACCGCCTTGAGTACGTTGTGCTTTACTGGACAAACGTTGGCTTGCCTTACTTTGCGTCGTAGATTTACCACTAATTTTAGAATCTGCAGAAGGTTGACCTTGCGTTAATTTAGCGCCTATGTATGTAATCGGCATAAAATTAAATTTATTTTAAAAAAAAAAAAAAAAAAAAAAAAAAAAAAAGATAACTATACATACCCGCTAATAAGGCAGCTCGAGTGGTCGCTTGTTGTGTATCGCCTTGTGGTCCATTGGAACGTAAACGTTTCGTTGCTCCGCTTACAACATCTATTAGACCTAGACCAATATCATCTGTTGTTTTCTTTACATATTCCTCATCATCTCTAGCCCGTTTACCTTCCATTCCTGAACTTGTGGGGGCCGGTAAGCTAAGATTATTAATTTTATTACCAATACAATTGAGTAAACTGGGATATGAGCTCGGTACTTGTTGAGCCAACCCGAAATCGACTAGAAGAAATTGCCGCTTGCGACGATTATAGAGGAAATTACTGGGTTTAACATCACGATGTATCACATTGAATTTGTGTACGTGCCGTAAGGCTATCAGCAGATTTTTCAAATAAAATTGAACTTCAGCTACGTCCATCTTATTATAGAAATCATGGAAACGATCATGCGCCAAATAAGGCATTATAAAAGCTACAGATTCGTTATAGCGAATACAGCAATTGATACCCACAACATTGTCGGAGCCACTGAAAACAAAATATAAAAGAAAAGAAAATAAAATGCCAACTTGGGCTATTTCTTTAAGCCTATTAAAAAAATTGTTTTTTTTTTTTGGTAGTGGAAATATTTTTTCTCTTTCATTTCTAACTGAGTCAAAGGAATATATTTTCCATGAAATATCAAATGAGAGACAAAATGTTAAAGAACTAATTTTTGAAATCTTAAGAAGCTATTGGTTACTCATTTATTCGGTGATAAATTTTACTTAATAAGAGTCCTTATTAAATTTTTTTCTCGCAAAGTATATCTTATGTCAAGTGAGTACGTGGTGAGTACTAGAATAAATAAAATAAAAAAAAATGGATTTAATCAAATACAAAAAGACTTCATTTCTTCTTTCTTAATAAGCAATTTCCAGAGATGTGATAAGATTCTTCTTCAAAGTGAATTAAAAACCGTCTTCGTTGTATTGACGTCTCGAACAATTGGACGACGCGAAGTATAATGCCTATTTGACGATATTAGTCGAACTTTTGATCGGGACGTTCTCCTGGCCAACAAGAACAGTTTCCCATAAGAAGTCGATTTCATTTCTTCATAGCGTGGTTGCATCTCTACCTAATAAAGTAAAACTGTTTTTTTAGACAATCATTTACGACGTTTCCTCTTACTAGGAAGACGAAACTTGAGACGAATTTGTTGCGAGGTACTTAATAAAAAAAAATTAAAAAAAATCAAATTCAGAAATCATTCAGGAATGCCAATGTGACTCCTTCACTGAATATGTTCCAGAGAGTTTTAATGATTTGCTTTGCCTAATCTTGGTGGGGTACCATGCGCTCTTTCTCAACTTGCGAACGAAGATTTACAACTATCGCGCTTTATCTGCTGCTAGAGAAACGCAATTTCGTTGAAGCGACAATTTTTCCATATACTTCATCTGCGGAACACAAACTGGAGGCATCAGTTTTGTGAAATAAAATGAATTTTAACATTTCCACGCGCGTGACTTCTTAGTTTCAGTTAATGAAGCTCAAAACGATGTCGACGCGGTACGATGATGTATATCTAGTTCCTGTCGTGTCTGTTCTTTGCGAAAGTCTGCTCGCGTCTCTTTCGTTTTTCTTTTCCAATAATTGATTGCTTATCGTTTGCGCAGATCTAATGATATGATTGTTGCTTATAGGCGACGATCGCATCTATTTTGGTTTTTGTGTTTAGCAGATACATGGCAAATTGAGATAATTGCAACAATAATTCCGTGTTATGGTGAGCAGGAAAATCATCATCTTACTCCACATGTAATAAGTTTAAATTATAAGAATGCAAGGTCGATCATCACATCGATCTTACACTGACTTTGCCTAATGCAATTCTTCATTTTTATATTTTGCTTTATTGTAGCTGCGTATTTCTCATGCGAATCCATAAATGGAGTGGAAGGAGCTCAAAAGGTAAATTTATTTCATTCAAACAGTGGACAGTACCACACACAGTGGATCATACCTTCGAAATAATGTTATTAGAAATTATTAAAAATTTGAACGTCTTGCCGTATATAAGCGCGTAGTCCACTTTTTCTTAGAATATTTATATACCTCAAAAAGATCGATTTTCCAATATTTCATGGTTAAAATTAGCTCATAATAATAAATCGACAAAGAAATCTACCTTACCGAACTTAGACCATGTAAGTCTACTTTTTATATACCACCGCATATAAGGACTCTTTGGAAATATAAACCCTTGTATACCAAAACATCCTAATTTTTAACTTTTTGTGACGAAAGTTTGTTTATGATAACAATTAAATAAAAAAATTAAGTAGATCTAATTGGAACCGCATAGGTCTATTTCTTGGCCTCCATCATAGATAAAAAAAAGTTTGAAAATTGAGCAAAATACGTGCCACCAACACGCTTATAAAAGAAATTCCAAATTCTAGCCCCAATTTAAATATTAAGCGGGCACACCGACAACAACAAAAAAATGCTTTGCAATTTGTATAAATATACGAGAGTATCTTATATATTTGTTACATGCATATATATATATATGCATATATATATATATATATTATATTAACGTAGAGCAACATAAACTTAAACCTTGTAAACTTATAATAAAATACAAATTAGATGCAAGAAGAAATTTCTCTTAATATCTTCATAAAATGACGTCAAATCTTGTATTAGGCAGCGACGTAAGTCTTTTTTTTTTAACGTTTGCGTGGAAATATATATATATATATATATATATATATATGGATATTTTTATGCTCTTTTACTTAGAGAAAACATGAATGACGGTATCTTTCCAAAGAGACCTTGAATTGAAAGGCACAAAAAAAAAACAATAAAAATAAAAACTCGTGCAGATATTTAAAATCAATAAAACACAGAACTATTAAAACCATATATGTTTATGAACTTGAAAATTTTCGTTCTCAAATTCCTTTATATATCGCATCTATCTACTCACACACACACACACACACACCAAAACTTTCTTGTTACGCCTTCTCATTTCGTTCGACATGAATGCAATTCGAGCACCAAAAAAGAAAAAAAAAGTAAATGCGAGATAGGTATATCGAGAGAACGGAAACAACGAAAGAGTCAGCGAGAGCGAGAGAATGAATGTTCAGTACGTGAGATACAAATCCCTAAGCGTTCAACACAATGATTGCGTTAAACGTTATTCGCCAAGCTTGCGCCAAATAGCTTGCGTACGTTGCTAAAAAGAAATCATATGATTGGCGTTTGTTTACATAAACGTTAATGGGGAAGGGAATAAAGGTGACTTTTTAAAGCAAAACAAAAAGGAAACACGGAAATAAAGTGATTTTGTGAAGCGCAAGACAACTCAAATTTGAATAAATTTTTCCTTTTTTGTTGTTCCTTGCTTTTGGAATGAAATTTTTCTAGTGAATGCTAAAAAATTAATTACATCATATGCGCATCTAACCTTTAATATGCACACAATCAATTTTATTTTTGGCAGATCGTGCGTCACGCACGACGCATAAATGCAGTTATTGTGTCGACGACTTTAATTTATTTTCCTTAATTGTGCTACTGAATAGAGGCACATCAATTGCCGGATCGCATTTGCTTTCATATCGATTATCTGTGTGATCTGCAATATTTATGTCAAAGTTCAATGTCGGCTGCACATCGCAAACGGTGCGTGTTTAAAGTTTCGTATTTATAGACTGCTATCAACAAACAAACGAACTTAGGTCGACTGATGTTATAGAATATAATCACCAGACGCATTTTTTCAAGAATTACAAATGCTCTTAAGAATATTACGAATCGCATTCGTTCTACGACACTGGAATGCAACAAACACAACTACATACAGACTAGTATATAAAAATTCAAACATTTCTTTACGAATTACTTCACATTTCAGTTGACTGATGGGAATAATTTTTTTTTACACTGGACTTTGACTTTCGAAATACATGTTAGTGTCACGTTTTACATCAATATATTATAATAGGTTGGAAGGAAAGTTGTGTCTTATTTTAAAGAAAATATATGAATTCATTTATATTTTTTCTTTTTTATTTACAAAAAAAATTACCTGCCTATTTCAAAAACGAAAGAACCTTTCCTCCAACCTATTAGATTAATATTATTATTATTATTTTAATTTTAGACTAATGAAATGAATTCTTAGACCAAAAAAAAGACATTGAGCACTAGATTAATATAAATGATAGATTTCGCTTTTTTCTATTGCAAACGGGTCATGGTGATGTTGATTCGGATGTAAGTTACTTCACATCAATACAAAATGCCAACGTTCGAATACCATATTTACAATCGTAAGCATTCCAAAAGGAGGTCATGGGACGAAGAGTCGGAAAAACATTGATAAGTGGACTCGTTATTTGACGGTAGTAAGGAATATATCTACTGTACACGAGTTCGGATATGCACTTCTAAATGCTATAGGTGAAGGGTCAGATCTAGTATACCAAAGACAAGCTTACAAGAGTGTCCTTGGAATAGCTAAATTCCAAAATTTGCATTGGGAATAAAAGAAGTGTGTATTGTATTCATCAATTTTAAACCCTGCGATATTCACGTATGACACCATAAAAGAATTGCTATATAACGATAATTTCTTTTCAAATAAATGACTGATATCAGATTTTAATTTTAGAAATCTTCCAAAAGAACTGTTACAAAATAAAATCAAGTTCCTTTGAGCTTAAAAGAGCCGTGTCAGAACGAATCGTTGATAACCATCACCTAACTATAAGCGAGCTTGCGAATATATAACAAAAAATTTTAAGTTTGCTCATCTTAAGCTAACAACGTGTACGCGAAGTTCTCGTTACCTCGCTACAGTTGCAATAGACGATAAACATCGAGCGCCGATCAGATGGAGTTGACTAAATAGGCCCTGAATTTCAAATTAATCAAATATATTCGCACTTATATGGATCGTTCGGTAGGATCTCCAATTTTTGGGTATGAAAAGTGGACAGAAAAAAGTGTAGAGTACATCAGTGCTTTAATCGTACGTATAAATATATCAAAATATTTTCTTATCTATAAGCAAGCCGGCCGGTCGATCCGCATCAATTGTCCCCTAAACTGTCAAATGGCCTTTATAAATATTTGCGCCAAGTTTGCGACCAATGCCTGCCTCGGATTGGAACACGAATTCCTGTCCGCTATGAGCAAGTTTTCTGGCAAACACAACTATTTTCAAAATCAATCTATAGTCGTGCGTATTCGCAACAGCCAAAATGACTCCAGAATTTTTTACTAATCAAGAAATTATCCAAGTGAGAGGTTTTTTAGAGTTTCTAATGGATATTTTTAAAACAAACTTTGTATGCCTATGTATATACATCCACGCGTTAATAGCGTCTATAAACAATCTTAAAAAATGAGGCGTTTATACAGCAACAAGATCGAGATTTTAATGTTTTGATGATAAAAATTTGTTTCAAAATTTTATTTGACATATGAACGTTTCGTGTGGCTAGTTTTGACGACATAAGTTTGAACCTCAACACCGCAGGAAAGCTCATCTTTACATAAACACACACGCGATATCAGTTTTGATATTTTTTAAGGCACATAACAAAAAAAAAAAATTGTAATAAAAACAATCATGCAAGACATTTAAGGGGTCGGTTTTGCACGATTATGAAATTCGTGAAGTTATTATACCCTACTCTCCACTTGTGGCACAGGGTATATTAAGTTAGTGCGATCGTATGTAACAGGCAGAAGGGCTTAAGACGAACCCGCCTTTTATTGCACCGATCGATTCAGAACCCTAATCTGAATTGATCTAAGCCTGGTCTGTCCGTCTGATAACTATCCATGTAAATTTGTGTTCAAGCTATGGGTCGCAATTTTTGAAATATTTTGACGAAATCTGGTACAGTCATGTGTCTTGATCCAAGGACAGCAGCTATTGAAAATGGTTCGGATCGGTCCATTTTTTCGATCACTCGCCAAATAAGGCACTATTTTAAAACGTCGCTATATATGGAAAAAAATTGTAATTTTTAAAATTTTCGCGGCAAAAGTTCCGAAGTAGTAGTCTTTCGATATGCTAAATTGGTATGAAAATTTTTGAGCCCCCCTCATATAACAAAAACTAAAGTTCATACGACAAAAAGATATAATTTTTTATGAAAATTATATCACAATAGTAATTTGTTATAAAAAAATTAAGTGTACGAAATTTGGACCATCTATGTTTATTTTTGGGATACTACCCTAATAAGAATTTTTACTAAAATTGATTCTATGTAGACCTGAAGTCTCAAGTTTTAATATGTGACGATCGAAATTGGCCCACAATATTATATTGATTTCATACAAAAATGAACTCTACAAAATTTAGTCCTGCCCTGTGTGAGGATTACGCTTGTATTACGTTAGGTTGCGTCTTGCGCCGGCGTCCCCAAAAATACGCATATGAAAAATATGCTTTTATATAGAAACAAAATATAATTTTTGTGTTCTATAATAAAAAGAAAAAACAATTGTGTTAGATAATGTAGTGTAGGGTATCTAATAATCAGCCTTGCCCGACTACAATGTTCTTAGTCGTTTTTAAAGACCATTGTGCCATTACATAATACCAATATAAAGGGTTTCATTATCATCGCAGTAGCGATAATAAATTAAAATTCAATTTCATTTCATACGCAGAAGTTGGTTTAATAGTAAAATCTGTTATGATTACATGATAACAGGTTATGATTATGCAATTAACTAAAATAGAATCGGAAATAAGATGGAATAGAATAGAATGGAATATGAGAAAGCTCATCGAATCGATTGCTTCATACAAATATTGACTCTATGGTCTTATTGATTTTACTTATATTTTAAACATGAATTTACATCACGTTTTCGATTTTTTTTCTCTGAACATACAAACATTTTCAAAAGATTATGCTCGTAACAGTCAGTATACTGTAAGCGAAAAAAGATTGCGAGAATCAGATTACCCGCAAATATGATTGCATAGACAAGGCGTAATCTGCTAGACAACTTGAGAGAAAATCTAATCATTTGTTTAAAACTTGGGTAAGAGTCATTTAAAATACAGTCTATGCTGTCTCTTTAGCTTCATTTACATATGTTTAGTTAAAAATTGGTTGAACAGTGTTCTTTTTCTCGGCACTGAGACTAAGGCAATGGATTTCGCAAGGCCGTTTTCTATCGTTAAGTCATTGATGAGCATTATTACTAACTGATTTAAGCTTTAAACCGATTTATAGAATAGAAAAAATTTTTATAACGCTCTTATTGGAAAATTGATTAAAATTTTCATGTTTTATTTTTTCAAAATTTAAATTAATGCTTCTTTAATCAATTGGTGCTTTATATATCCATAGTTTTTCTTGCCGCATATTTTTGATGATTAATTCGTGCATTGGAGGACTAACAAATACTTTAAATAAAAGAGCTAAAAATAATATGAAAGCACATAAACAAATAAAATTACAAGAAAAATTATTTAAACGCTCTTGCAGGTGTTAGCATTTCTGTTGCTAAGAAAATAAATACAAAAGCAAGAGAGAAGAAGTTCGCAAAGAAATGAAATTTTCTAAACTTTTTGCCAAGACTGTGACGAGAAAGATCTCGCTGCGCAGTCAATATAGCGCTTGGCATCAAATGAGGTAAATAAAAAATGACGTCAAACGGACGAATATCTGAATGACGACAGCTTACGACATATGTAAATAAAAGCAAAATGTTTCAAGCAAGCAAGCAAGCAAGCAAGCACGCAAGCACAAAATTAGAAAAATTGATCTTATCTGTCATAGTGCTGTGACTACCGTTCCGTTGTTCTGATTGTCAGAGTTTTAAGTATCAAAGATCGCGCATATATGCATATATACATATAGCGAAGGTAGGAAGGAAATGATTTGCCGGATGCAGCCGGTAACGGTCATTTTAGACTTACCCAATTTTTGCCATACATTGCAGTTCTTTCATGATGCGATCCGGATGACTGGTTGGTATATGATGTTTAATGGCAAATTTACGTCTTTGATTTTCGGGTAGCTCACGTTCTTTTTTTAACGTACCCAATAATACAGTACTGAACGTCCCATTACCTATTCGGCTGTGTACATCAAAAATATTCTCAATTTCCGGTATGCGAGTACGCAGATCATGTATAGCCTCTGTAAATGTTAGAAAAAAAAAAAAATTAAAATTATCTATGTACAATAGAAACTCTATGAGGTGAAAAATGGAAAAAATATGTAACTGTGTTACCTTCATTTTTATTACGATTAGAGGTGACTTTTGCGTGCATGGCCGTTAACTGATCCATTGGAGTTGTTATGCAGGCTGTAACTTTTGAAGACAGAGTTTGATTATTATTTGCCAATGCTAAAGCAGTATTGGTACTGATATGGCTTTTATGAGGCGTTGTTGATGGCGCTTTCGCTGATGTTTGTAAAGCGCTAGCATCATGACGTTTACTACTGATACTAGTTTGATGACCTGAAGTCACATTACGGTGTGATTGTAGCTGCCGACCGGTTTGGTGCTGCGTTCCAGGATTAATTAATTTTGGTGGATCTTTGGCAACGTTCAGTGATCTCCAATTGAGTGGATTTGCAGAGGTAGTTGGTGGTGAAGGTGTTGTGCTGTTGTGCAGAGTTTTCAAATTATTCGATGCTAATAAACTGCCTATATTTGTATTAATCTTATTGTTATTGACATTGGCTGCTGTGGTTTTAATTTTTTTATCCATTATTTTTTGGTCAAGTCAAACAATGTTACAGCACGTTTTATTAGTAAGACTTTTTCTTCTAAACGGTCTTGTTTTCGTTCTATAATTTGTTTTCTCCTTTTTTCCTCTCTTTTTCCTTTCTCCCTTAATAACAAAACTTCTTATCGGCTCTTTTCACATCGAAAAAACAATTTGTAGTCTTTCTCTTCCCTGTATTTGCAGAACTTGGATACCGTGTGATTCTTTGGTATTATTGAAAATTTTGCAAAATTGTTAATTTTTTAACATTACAAATTTGCCTTTTTTAATTAAAATTTTTTTTTTGGGTGACAAAATAAAAATTCGATGTTTTTTCTTTTGGAACTTGAATTTTCTGAAATTGTGAAAAAAAATTTTCTTCACTTTTGACAACTGTCAGATATTTTTCTCTTATTTTTCCACACTCACTCTTCTTTAATGAACTAACGGACCAATGATTTTTTTGCCTTTTTCTATTCTAAGGAATAATTTATGCAAATGATAGGTAATATAACAATTATAATTTTCTTCTTTCACGTTTTCATTTATACACAAAGATTTTATTTTTTTAAAAATTTTTTTGGTTTGTTTTCAAATTAACAACAAAAAAGTTATAAATAAATTAAAAATTAAACAAAGCTCTCTCCGAGAGAACCGCTTTTCACAAACGAAGAAAATGCAATAAAATGAAAAACATGAATAGTGCCTACTAGTGTTGCCGTCGTAGAGAATTTGACATTACATAGGCAATTATAATTTTCACTTATCTACTTTTATCCATTTATAAAAAAATCAGATAAGTTTTGCTAAGAATCCATCGCTTCGCCGTCAAACGTAAAACTTAATTTAATCTAGAACAAATTCTCTCAAAATGCCTTACTTCCTTAAGAATTACAAATCAACAGCGTAAATTTATTGTATTCAATTTAAAGTGAGCTTTGACACCCACCAAAAGCACGCTTCTGCTTTTCCTTTTTCATGAAAGGTTTCTGACAGTATTTTCATAAGCATCGTATCAGTTATCATAATATACACGATACGACAAGAAGTGCAATCTTAACGAGTTAAACATATTTTTAAATTGTTGATCATTTTGACAGAATTCGAGCGGCGCAAACATTTAACACCTTAGTACAACCTTGCGACAGGGGAAAAAAAAATTCCAGAAATTTATCACAAAGTTCAGTTCAGTTCAGTTTACCCCATATATACTTTATATTTATAACGAAAACAAACATATATATGCGATATGAATAGACAGCTATAAAAGAAACATTCGAAAAAATATTTTCTAATGTCACTTTAGATATATATATTTTTTTTTGTTTAGATAAATTAATCGGATTAAGCATGTTGACTATATGAGCAACACATCCTGCAGCATGATAAGTTTTTGCTAATTGATAATCCTCTGCGTTATTTAGATGATGTTTGGAAAGAATTGATGATAGCGTTCTCTTTGATTAAGAGACAGGGGTGTAGCGGTTTTCAGTTGAGTACTATCCATTCCAGACGATTGATTACAAGCTTTCACTGATTTAGAATGTTTAATTACACACTGGGGGAATAACGGAAAAACAGAGTACAAATAATTAGTAATATATTGAAAATAGATTGAAATTGGTTTAAAAGGCACATCCAGCCTCTTGGGATGAGTATTGTTCCTAGCACGAAAAATTTCATAAAGATTCTTATATATGCTGAATGTTTTGAAAGGCTGTCTAATGAGATCAAATTTTCTGCAACCAAAAATGAGATGCTCTGCCGATTCGGCCGTGCACAAGTATCAGATGGTATTGTTCGCGATGCGATCGCTTTGTGACCGATTTACTAAATCGTTATCTAAAAAATATTCTCTTAAATAGCTTAGCATTCCTTTCAAATCTTGGGTGTCGGATAGAAACTGTTGTATATTTCGAAAATTTGGATGACCAGGATAGATTTCTCGTACTTCGTATTTACTTTGATCTTTCACAAAAAGAACATAAAAGTGCTTGCAACTTATCTAAAAGAAAAACCACCGTCTAATATAACTAAAAGAAAATTTTAAACAAAAAAGCAAACTCACTTTTACGTAATTAAAATCATTTTCCATACTTTCCATTATACAATAACCCATCTTACAGAGAATATCGAGATTTCCTTGTTGATCTGTTCTTTGATTTACTGTAAAATAAAACAATTCCATTCGAATTAGATTTTTAATAACACCTTTATATTGCATATATATATATATATATATATATATATATATATATATCTGTATGTAACCGTACCATGAAATAAGAATTATATCATAGTTAAGGTAAACGTAAAACATTTCAAACCATTCAGATCGGGCTTTCAATCTCAACTTTTCTTTATGTTTGGACCTATCTTCGTCATACCATTTTTAATTTATTTATGAAACTTTTACGGTATTTGGTTTCTGGCTGGTTTAGCCAAGCATATTTAACTTGTTTGTTTTCTCTAATTTTGAACTAATGGATAATAGCAATAAATTGATTGCATTGCAATGCGTATCTTAATAGTCGGCGCCCCTTTAGTGGACTTTGGATTAAGCTATTTCCCTTGCAGGCCCCTGTAGAAATGTACAAAATAAATAGCAATCTTTTTAATCGGAACCTATATGTAATTCGTATTGTACTTAAAGTTTGTTTTTAAAATCGAATTATCGAACTCGATTCTAACAAAGCCAATTGGCAATTTCGCGCCTCATTATAATTGCATTAGTGCAACCAGTAGGTTTATTCAACTATTTACTGCTTTTTGCGAAATTAACCTTTCTGACCTTTTCCTAGTTTATTATCCAAAATACATTCTACGTTTATTTCATCGGCCAGCGTTTTCTCCAAAAGCGTCTGTAAGTTTCTTTGTTTCTCCATAAGCACGTCATTTAAACTTTTCAAATTTTGTTCATCTTCTTGAAGCTTCAAAAAGGTCACTTTTAAGTTTTCAAGCTTTTCATAGCCTTTCAAAAGTTGCACTTGTTGCAACTGTTTGACACTTAAATTCTCTTCTAATTTAGTAACTTCCATAAATTTAGAAAAATTTATTTAAAAATGCTAGAATGTTTTGAGAAAAGCTAGTTTGTATACAAACTTTTCATTTACAAACTATTGCATATCACTTCAGTAATGCGCCAAAATTCGTTCGTGAAAATAGCAACGAGTTTTTCCTATAAGTTGAATGAAATCGTAAACAGTGGAATTGACTAATAACATAACTATATTATATTTGTACTTTTCTTTCGATAATATGTCAACTTTTCTAGCTTTTTTCCGGAATTCTTTGAATTTAGGAATTTCAGAATCACAGAACCAATAAATCTAATCGCACATTAATACATCATTTATGGATAGTTAAGGGTGTTACAAAATTAGTTTTCCCATTAGTATATTGAGTAGAGCTGCATGAAATTAGTTTTATGGAATGCGGACACCAAGAAAATATAATTATTATATTGTCAATCAATAATTAATATTCATTTTCCAACTTTGTGACAGTATCGCTAGGAGAATATGTGTTTTCTTACGATAGTATTTGTGATTTTGTATCAATATATGATATTGCGAGGTAATAGTCGCAATAAAATTCTTCAATAAATGTTTTGTTAATATTAATTGCTGCAGCTTGCTAAGCTCTCAGGCTATTGAGAATAATTACCACATTATTTTACATCAATTCAATAATTCATTAAATTTATATTCTATTTTGTCAATTTCAAGACGTGAAAATTTTTTTGTATTTCAAAAAAAAAAATAAATAAATTTTTGTATTTCGAAGGACAAAAAATATGAAATACTTTTTGGAAAGTAAAACATACAATTAATATTAAATTGTCATGGCTACGTCAGGGCGCAAAGCTAAACCAGATTCTTTGCGTTATTTTTTTCAAGTTTTGCATTACCCTGGTGAAACTGCCGCTGCTACTGACGGAAAAGAGGAATCAGTCACCGTGGATCAGCTTGTAGATATTCTGGTTAAAGAGGGCAAATATTCCAACGGTGAGTTTTATAAATTTCAACTTTGATTACAATTAATTATGAATTTTATTCAGTTTTTGCTAAAGATACTGTACTAAGTGCTATACATGATGGCTTATTAAGGTCTGTAGGTGGTAGTGCATCTAAATTACTTAAGACATCGAGTGTGGACACAAAAAAACGTTTTCGTTTGCCTTTGCTACAGGAAATAGATATTTCTCCTCATGAACTTTATTGTTATGAATGTCAGTTGCCCGGCATATTAGAACATTGCAGTCAATGTACCCGATCATTTCACCGTTCATGCTATCGCAAAAATCCTGAGCGACCTAATTATACGGTGCCATCTTGCAAAATACAAAAGAATAGCTTGCCGGCTTTTAGTTCGGAAGGTGACACAGATTCAGGTGAAGATGCGGCACGTTGCTCAACGGCGTTGGATTATGAAAGTGATGTCAGAGCTTCTTCATCAGTAATGCATTTGGATCAAAATTCTGCAAACAGTTGGACATCACAAAAAAATACTACTTCCACTAAAGAGAGAGACGACGCTAATTCGTCTACATTGGAGAACGATAATATAAACCATATTAATTCATTTAAGACAGTCGAAGGTAAACCTTTGGTGTATGATACGGATACGGAAAATAAAAGCAATGTTGACGTTGTGTGTTTGGGTGAGATAAGGCCGCCTAATCGAAAACGTCGCACTACTGCGGCTTGCAGCATTTCCTACAAAAATGAAATATCGCTCAACGAAGATGAAGATGAAATGGTCAGCGAACTATGCACTTGTTGCAGACTGCTGAAAAGAGCCGATTTACGAAATCCCCCTAATTTGCAAGCAGATGAGCTATGTGCTTTAATTAATTATACTTTCCAGCGTAACAAAGAATGGATATCTTATGATTTAGTGACGTACTTGGAACAACAAAAACTGTCCGCGAGAGAATTTAATATCATTATGAATTTGCTATTCAAATCGCCGATTAAGCGCTTAAAAGACGTACTGGAAAGCATACAAATGCGCCAGTATAGTTTATTAATGGAATTTTTTGTCGATTTGCTGGATATTCAATACCAGATAGGAGTTTATTTTGGACGTAAGTATTTAAAGAATAAAGTGAGTTAATTATTTTGAATATTTTATAGCCCACAGTACCGAGATGGAATCCACTAAATGGTTTTTGCGCGATATTGCTCATGATATATCTGAGATTAGGCGTTGTCCAGATTGTTTTCGTTATTCACATGAAAAATCCACGCCGGCATGGTTTGCCAAACCGTGCGTACAACGTCATGAATTAGTTTTTGCCAAACACAGTGGCTTCCCATATTGGCCGGCTAAAGTAATACGTGTCTTAAACAATGGTAAATACGATGTAAGGTTTTTTGGCGGCAAACATTCAAGAGCTTTGATAGATGTACGCCATATAAAAGCCATTGATACTGATGTTAAGTCTTTGAAGTTGGGCAATAGACCGAGCATTAAAAAGGCTATGGAAGAATTACACTGTCATCAAATGCTTTCAAAATATCCAGCCAGTAAATTTGCTTTCCATGCTAATGCGCAAGAAACTGAAGAAATTATTCGCAAAGTACTGGATACCTTGATAACATCAGGACTGCTCAGAAAAAAGCCCAGGAGAGTTAAACGCAAACATTCATCAGTTGGCAATAACAGCATTTCGCCTTCAGGAGAAGTTACGCAATATCTAGCGGTATCCAACAACAACATTAGCGACAATTCACCGATTATATTCCCTGAAGTGACAGTACAAGTAAAGCGTTTAAAGATGCAAGACATACAAAACACTTTTGCTGCCGACGGAAACGAAACGCCACGTCATACAACACGTAGAAGCAAACAGTTATCTTTGGGTGGAGAGACATTCGGCACGGTTTGCTTTAAATCCAGCCAAAATTATGAATGCATATTGTTTAAAAAATTAATTTCATTTTTCAGAAAACCGCTGCGGTTGAAGAATTGAGTAAAACCCGCCAAATGTGTAATGATTTTAAATTGAAAGTCGAGCGGTTGGAAGTCCAGAAACGAAAAATGAGAGAAACCATCCGCAAATTTGGCATCCAGTTAAAAGTTATAAAACGGAAACAATGGGTAAACTACTGGTTAACATTTTTTAATGGAAAAAATTCGGCACTTTTTTACAGCCTCTTTATCCAATTTGCTTTCGCAGCAATCGTGGAAACATGAAGTATATTATATGTGACTTTTAGTTTGTCTGGCTTTGTATGTCTGATTAGTGCGCAAGGTTTCAGCTCTTGAGCCACTTGCGATTAGATTATTAGTTGAGATAAAAAAGTGGAGCTTGGCTGATGTTTAACTACAGGCTTTGGGCAAAAACAAGAGTAATATTTCAATTAAAATAGATATTAATCTTAAACTTAATACAAATACTTTCCAAGACAATCTAAACATTCGTAGTGAAAATGAATTTAATGGTCCAAATTTTTTCCTATACCTATTAATGATATAAATATTCGAAGCTTAAATAATAAAATCGTAACCAAAAATCGACACAATAGGCTTACAAATACATAAATAATTGTAGTTTGTGGGAGATTATAAATATTTTTTAAGAAAGCCATTATGAGAATCTTTTTGATGGAGCAAGTGAGCGACATTTACACTGTATTACACTTTGTCACTTTAATGCAATATAGTGAGGAGAGAGTGTTCAAAATTCCACGATAAACTTTTATAGGTATATAGGACATAAATTATATGTGCGTGAATAGTGGAAAATATTTAGTCATATGTGCTTGCTATTAGAATTACCAAAAGTCATAGAAATTGAAATCGAAGCATTACTGGAAACTTCTACAGGTTTTTTCTCAATAAGTGACAATGAATCAATAATAATTGAAAATGATGACTGAATACATATCACGGCCATGTTTGCAATAGTATTGCCCTGAGTGATTACTTCGAAATTTCGAAAAAAGTTTGAAGAACGAAATCTGAACATTATAAATACTTCTCAGAAAGAAAGAAAAAAATGAACGTTTATGATTAACTAAAAATGTTATTTATATTTCACGAGTACCAATAACTTTTTAAACAGAATTTACTTATGCGCATGTAGCTTCTTTTTATTTTTTTATTAATTTTATTAAGTTTTAATTTATTCATTTTTAATTACGCTCATTTTAGTGCTATTGGTGTCTTGAAGAGGCCAATTATTCATGTTGCTTTGAGGCGGCTTATTGTTCGCAAGTATGCCAACTGCGTCACTGGGATTTTGGTCATAGCAAAGTTTGCAAAAGTCCAACCAAACCAGCGGATAATACTGCGGATTGAAAAAAAAAATTAAAGATTTTTGTTTTTTTTTATAAAGTAAAAAAAAAAACCCTTATTAAACGTACGTATGTAATACAAGCGATATTTTATATGTGTCTCCAATGGTATATGTTTTTATTACCACTATAATTTCCAGTTTCCTTTATATTGTTATCATTAATAAATACATCTTTTATTGTCATTTCATAAACATTCTGAATTAAATTCATGAGATTCTGAATTTAAAAAAAAAAACAAAAAAAAACAACAACAACACGTCTTTCTCTCTTAAGCTTGATTGGACAATATAAGAAACGGAACAGTGTTGGTTACGTTGGGATTCAATTACCGTTACCCAAGACAATGGGAACATTGGCTTTACCGAAGTTTCCTAATATTGAGGACATGTTTGCTAAAGTGGCTGTTAGAAGCCTACGCCCAATTAAAAAGAAATGGGAATATTCCCTCTGACTACCTAAAATAATATTTTAATACCTCTCTTAATAAAATTCAATGTTTGGTGATCATGTAAATTGGACTGAGTATCCGATCAACGGTACTAGGATTTATGAGATATAAACGCGATTGTCAGTTCGTGCAATTATCTACGTACTACTCGGGATTCGTATAAAAATCATGATTTTGAATTTGTGTCGAGTGATTTCTTTTACAATTAAATTTCTTTATATAAGCTAATAGGTGGTATCAAAATATTCTTTCCTATTTACCTTCTAAGAACTACTTTTGTACCGCACATTGTTTATCATTGTGAAATATTAAAATCACGACTACATCTTCAAAACGTTGTTTAGTTCAATAAATTTTATCCGAAATTTTGTATCATCAGTCTCTACAATCAGCTAAATTACACAAATAATATAATTTTAAAATGCCATATATATATTTGCGTATGTATATAAAGTAAAGTAGATACCAAGTATTATTTTAATTTGTGTATTGGGAATTATGAGCTAAAATGCGGGCGGTAACTAATCCGTATAATACGATATATATCTAATGAATAAACGCTCGCTTCTTTAGCTAGTAATGGGTTTTAAATTTCTTTGTAGTTTCTTTCAATTTTTGCAAATTAATCTCTTGTGAAATTTGCAAAACTTTATTTTTTTCAATAATACATTCTAAAGATATTTTCAATTTTTCTCTTAATACTAACAATCAAATCAACTTTAAGTATACGTTTAAAAAGATTTCAGCATTTTGTTTTTGATCTTAATACCAGTCGACTTGTCTACATTCCTTTGAAGAACGTTTATAAATTGTCTTCATATACAATTTAAACGACATTTTTTGCTTCACTTGGTATACGATTTGTTAAATACTGCGCAGGCATAAACCCGGAATCACCTAAGCATTTTATAGTAACATTACCAGATGGTTGTATTGTGAGCCAAGTTATGGAGGCATGATTAACATTAATGCGCAGCCAAGCTTCAGGTGGAAACTGTAAAGCGCGACAGACAAAATAACGTATTACGTTGCCGTGACCCACGATCAATGTGTAAGTGTCTTTTTTGTCAGTAGGAAATGCCCGATGAAAATAGCGTCTAAAAGCTGCTTCAATGCGTGCACCATCGCGAAAGAACTGCTGTGGAAGGCAAGCATAAAATAAAATGTATTCGAAAATACTGAATAAATCATTGGGCATCGTTTGGCTCAAATATTTCTCTAACTTAAGCTCACCGATTCTTGGGGACGCCAATGACCAACCGGTGGTTGTGGAGGTATGGGCGCGCCCTCACGTATGTAAGGGCAATTTACTACTTTTTTAGGTTCAAAATCAATTTCTTTAAGGATAATTTCTGCTGTTTCCTGAGCTCTAGTCATTGTCGACACAATAATTTTATCCCATTTTACACCCATCTCTCGCAAACGTTGACCGGCATATTTCGCTTGTATACAACCCTTCTGCGTAAGGCAGTGAGTATCATCTGTCTCGCCGGCATCTAAGTACTCGCCATGACGTACCAGTATTATATGTCGTACCGAGCGGGTCGTTGATTTTTCAAGATCACTGTTGTAACGATTTTCTTCTTGAGGTGAATCATTCTTTGCAGGTTTAACTAGATGCCTTGGATTGCGGAAATCCCAGTTACTATCCCATATCGCAAAAGGGTTAATCGGTTTATCGCTGTTTGTCCACGAAGAATGTACCTGCCTTTCTTCCGATTTTATGTGTTGATATAAATAAGCACTGAAACCAGCTCCGGTACCAAAGGCGACGGCACTAAATTTACGTACACCAGACCAAACAACCATCTCTAAAACAAGATATTCAGCTGTGATTATGCTTAATCGCACAAAATCTGAGAGAAAACAAAGTATTTAAATTTACAAATCCTTTTTTTTTTGTGGGATTTTAGAATAATTCACAGCTTTTTTAGAAATCGAACCGAAACTTCACAACCGGCGCCCGCCACAGAATAAAACACTTAGTCCCTGTAATAAACTATGAATTTATAGCCACTTTTTTGTAAATACACACACTTCAGATTTAAGTAAAAGTATTCACTAAAAGGAAACTGTAAATAACATTAAAAACTTAAGTTTATTATAAGTTTTTGTTATATTTAAATATCCATGTGTGTGCGTAACATAAGCAGACATTGCCAGGTCGGTTACGAAAATAGTATTTTCTAATTGTGCTTTGGTAACTCTTGAAAACAAGTTGGACTTGAGTTATTCACATTAAATATTTATATTTTAACTGGCAATAACGCTTTTTATTGGCCCATCTGAGCACGTGCGAGATTTTCTCAAAAAAGTGAAATAATTAAGGTCGGCTTTTAAGTTTAAAAAAATGCCTCTTAAAAAAGTTAAGAAAGAAAAAAATACTGAAGATGTTGGAAAACCAATGAAAATGCAATTAGAAAATAATAAAGCAGTCGTAGTAGGAGTCGCTGATGAAATTAATGCAACAACAACTGAAAGGGCTCCAATGGTGATAGATACCAATATACTGCAATGTTTTAAAGGTTTAACTCATTATGAAGAAAATCTACGTTTGGAGGCGACGGCGCAACTAATGCAACAATTGAAACGTAATATTCGAAAAGGCGAGGTAAGGTTAAGATCTTTTTCTTAATTAATAATTCTGAATGGTTTCATATTCTTTTGTATAGCGACAAAGGGAATTTACGTATTGCATGAAACGTTTAATACGTGGTTGTGGCGCTTCAACTAATATTTCACGCGCCGGTTTCTTTGTTTGTTTGGTGGCGTTGTTAAAAACATTTCCAAATGAAGTTGTCAAAGTAATTCAGGTGCTAGAATTATTAAGCAAAGAATTAAATGTGGGCGCTTCATTAGCTAATAAGGACGATGCTGATGCTGTGGTTGGACAAATTTTGGTATGTACGGCTTTGTTAAGAGCCGACCGTTTATCAGATACGGAACATCTTACGCAAGTTGTTCAAATCTTAGTACAAGCTACACGACATCGTACTTATCATGTTACTTTGGCTTTTCAACTCCTCTGTGATTTAATAAATTCATTAACAATAGAGCAATTTCGAAGTATAGTGTGGCCTATATTGGAGCCTATTTTACTAAAGCCTTGGACGAAACAAACGCTACAAACTGTATATTGTATACTTGTGGTGCATCAACGTTTTCCTGAAGTCATAACTAGAACATATTTCCAACAAAATTTTGGTGGATCAGATTTGCTAAATGCAGATAGTTACCGTTATATATATAACATATTTTGGCATCTTGATAATATTGATAATCTCTTACAACCAGTTTATGAGTATTTCGCAAATTACTTAGCGAAAAGTAAACATTTAGGTAAATTTTGGTTAAGCCAGGTGGAGCCCGGGTTAACAGAAAGCAACAAAAACTTGAAAATGGTGACATTAAAACTATTTACGGATATTATAAATAACTTTAAAGAGAATCACAATCGAATCTTGATTTTATTGAGCGATAACTTTATAAAAATGTTGATGGAGGGTTTAAAAACGCTGAAAGCACGCAACGTTAGCGAGACGTATAAGGCGTTCTATGACGACTTTTTTCAAGCTTTAGCACGCTCCTGCGAGAACATATCAGATGAACAGACAAAAGTAGCAGTGATTAAACGTCTGATATTGCCGCCTGGAATATTTCATATTGAAAAGCTTGCTGGCCATCGTATAATACATCATCTAGTTAATTTTTTGAGCATCGAAGGTATAAAAGAAATTTTTGCTTTATACAAAGGAGTTTTTCAGGCACAATTACCTAAGAATCCCCTTAATGCCGAAGAATGTTGGCTAAATTTTGAGCGGTTTAGCGCGGGCTACATGCTGCAACATCTATTGCAACATAGAGCCGTACAAAAAGATCGTAAATGGCAGGAGGAAGAGTTGAAATTTTTGTTAAAGTATGGTATTTTTTATGTGAACGACCAGGGAGATTTGTGTAAAAAGGATGACACCGGCTCATTCTCTAAAGATTTTGGCGACCATTGCCAAACGATGTTTTATAATTGCCTTCAAAGCAAATTACAAGATCTTCAGGAAGAAAGTGATCTTCTCTACAATTTAGTTAAATATTGTCAAAAACATGTAAAGCAAAAGGCTTTGAGAAAGTATCTAAAATTAAAACAAATAGAAGAGGAATCTTGGCAAATAACTTGGCGGAATATGTGGTTAGAGATAAAAACACATGAGGCAAAAACTAAATGTAAGAATGAAAAGCAGAAAGAAAGCTTACATAACGTTTTTTCTATCCTCTTGCTTCATATGGGTTTGCAAATGTTTAAAGAACCAGCAATGGCACAACTGAGTATAGAGGATTTGCTGAAATGCAAAAAGGAAGCGGAAGTAAAGAGAAGAAATGATAAAGAACCTGAATGGATTGAAGTGGTAGTCGATTTACTATTGCATTTGTTATCACAAAATAATGCGGCTCTGCGCAAGGTAGTGAATGCTTTGTTCCCTTCATTATGCGGTAATCTAAACCTGACAGCTGTCCACCAGATACTTTCAGTTCTAAATATGAAAGGCAATTATAATCCATTGAGTTCTAAAAACGGAGAAGATGAAATGGAAGAAGAAGATACGGAGAGGGGAGGAGAAGAAGGAAGCGCGCGCGGTACTGATGATTTGGCCGACAATGGTGTTGATGATAATGATGATGGTAACGATGACGATGATGATGATGATGATGATGATGATGATGATGACGATGATGATGATGACGATGATGATGATGATGACGACGATGACGACGACGACGAAGAAAACGATGGTTCTGAGGATGATGATGAAACTACGATTACAATTAACGATAGACTGCGTAATGCCGTCTCTCAAGCTTTAATAACTAATGGGGCAGCTGTAAGTAGCCAAGATTTCGGCAAGAATAACGATGATGACGATGATATGCATTCAATCGACTTAAATGATCTATCCGAAGAGCAAGGTCAACGTTTAGACAAAGCCTTAGCGCAAGCATTTAAGACGAAAAAATTTGCCTTAACTTCGCAGCATAAGAAATCTAAAGGTTATCATTTGAAAACGACAACTTTAATGCATTTTCGCATACGTGTTTTAGATTTGTTAGAAATCTATCTACAGCAACCGAAACCCTCACTTTTAATAGGTCTGGAAATCATGTTAACGCTGTTTGAAATGTTGCAGTTTTGCCATGAAGAAGATATGAAGTCTCTAAAAGTCAAGGTAGAGCGACTAATTAATAAGTTAACGGCACTTAAATCTTATAACATAGAAGAGGATTTAATGGAAGATAATTTCAAGGATTTTATTAATCTAATAATACAGAAAGAAGCTCCAGCTGCAACGTACGATATAATTAATAAAATGCGTAACAAATGTGTCAGGTTTTTGCTCTTAATGGCAATCAGTCGACAATCTGAAACACCCAAGATTGTAAAATTATTCGAGGAATACATTGAAGGGTTTATAAAGTCACGCAATTACATACTAAGCATTACGTTACTAAAAGATATTTTCACATTGCCTTGGTCGGGTCTGTGGCAACTTTCAAAGTTTCTTCTCTCCTCAAAAAATCTTAACCACTCTACACGAACTTTTAGGCGCATACAAATCTATGAACTAATCTCTTTGCTCTACAAAAACTCTAGATTACAAATGTTGGATGGCCAACAATATAAACAATGTTTAAAAAAGCTGGACTTAGGATTAAAGAATCATATAAAACATTTGATTCATAGTAATGAATTCAAGTACTCAAATAAAGAATTAAAAACATTATTAGAACTCATAATGGATTCTCAGGAATCACATGCTCGTTGGCAGTGGCAATCAGAATTGTCTTCTTCGGATGTAATAGAAGATATGCAACGGCTAGGATATGCGCATTTACATACTCACCAAGTTTACAAAAAGTTTTGTCACTTGTTTAAATTGGAAATATTACCTAACCATGATTTATCTATCAAAAGTATAAAAGATAACCATTTGGCCGCGCCTACGTCCATAGAAAATGAAGATGAAGAACCGAATAATTGCGAATTGATAACATCTGCGAATTCAGCACAGAAGCGTAAATCATTTTTGATAAATTCATCTAAATTAAAAAAGCAAAAAAAACAGCAACGTTTAGCCGAAGCTTCAAAGGCCCAGCCTTAATGGCTGGGCTCAATTGAATGAAGTTATCGAGAACAGCGACTGTTTGGCTACAGAGGAAGTTGTTGATTAGTTAAGTAATTTCATATTTAGGTCATAGATTTAAATAAAAAATTTTCAATAAAAAACAAATTTAAAGAAAGAATACTGACATAATGAATAATTTTGGATCGAATTTTTTCATCCATAATGATGTACGATATGTGATTGCAAGATGAAGCGGCAGATTATTTATCTGAATATGAATCTTGCAAAGTACGCTGTCTCTCTCTCTCTTTACGTTGTATGTAAAACAAATATTTTTTTACAGTGTAACATTACCATCCAAATAATTTTACAAATTAAAACCCACACCTATATATTGATGTGTCATTATAATTTACTTTAAAACCGATTGAAGTGATTTTCGACTTGGATGTCGAGATTGTATATAGGAAAATTGGGAAATCATTAATCTTTTTGGTAATTGCGGGCTTGGATCGTTTTTGCCCATTTGGATCTACGAGTCATATTTCTATGCCATTTGGCATCATAGGCTATCGAGAGGAGGTACACTATACTTTTTTAGGCGAAATATTCACAAATACTTTTAAAGTGTGCACGGCGTCGTGTATGTAAGGTATTCTGAAGTGAGTAGACCTTTTCCGATATCAGAACAAACACTTATTACATATTTTGGCAAAACTCATTTAATTACTCACAATAGTCTTTTTTTTAGGTTCTCTATATCGATGTAGCGTCATAGTCTTTTAAGTTACATGTGCAACATGCCTTGTTGGATGACGTACGCGGCAGCAAAAAGGATCTGTTTTCATCGGCAAATTCATTTTTCCCCCTAGGTATAAATCGCTGCTAAATCTGTAAATACGATGAATGGATGATTCTTAAAATTACGATTCATGTGTCGATCGATGAACTTATATGTTCAGCTTACTTTGATATCCCAAAGACCCAAGTACCCGGGCAAATGACTATTAATATATTAAGAGAACATGTCTGTAGCATATATCAAAATTTTTGAAACGCATTTTTCTCGAAACCCGATTTTTAAAAAACGGTACACGGTATGACTGCAACAATTTTCTTTCTAGAGTAAGACAACTCGGCACTTTTTCAATAAGTTAATTTAAGCGTTTTTTTATATATAAGCGAGGTCCTACTTTTGGTCAAAAATTGTCAAAGGCTCGGCGTGGACACGAAGCTCTTTGTTTAGGCCTTAGTAAAGTTTGAGGTTAGTTTTGGTAGATTTTTTTTTTCATTTCATTGTTTCTTTATATTTCATTATCAAACTGTATTTAAATCGATGTCTTATTAATTTTTGCGCGTTATACGTACGCCATGTCTAAGGTCTGAAAAAATATCCGATTCACTGATTATAAGCATGTAGAAGAATTGATTTCTTCTAAATTTAATTGCACTGCGTACCGTAGGGACCATTCAGTTAAGCATGCCTTGTCGGAATGGTGGTAGTATTGTTATTTTTTAATGTTTTTTGGAAACAAGTTTTTTTTCTTCTTTTTTTAATAAATCTGTGTTAAATAACTTCCGCGAACATTATCATGGTGTAATCTTTCTTAATATACATTATCTCCTTAATCACATTAGTTGTTGGCAGTTAAGAGTTGAGTCTATCGTTTGAACAAGTTGGAGCAGTTCACGTAACACGATTCCCTTCAAATCCCAGTAGACGATATTTTTTGCACGTTAATGTCGTCATTGGTTCATCGATCTTATGATGGATTGATCGGCCATCAGAGCATAAGTTCCATTTACCAGCTGTTAATTGCTCTAAAGTTCGACATTGTAAAATATAGCGAATTTTTTCAAAATTTCGAGTCCTTTTTAAAACTCGCAATTACTTTAGGCTGAATTAAGAATGTCATAACGTCTTTTATGGACAATTTTCTATGGGCAGAAATTTTTCAATTGCATTGTACTCTCGCTTGAGGATGGTCTAGCTCTGAAACTTTCTATTGGAAAAATGACACGAACTTTTTGCTTTACCTAATAAATGTATGAATGATGTATATAATAGATATGCTTAGGTTTATTTGTCACATAATAGCATAATTTTCTTTTTATGAGAAAAAGTCACATCAGCGTGGCTTTTTGCTTACGATGAGTTCACGCTTTATGAAGATATTGAAGAAATATGTGTTTTTCTTTTAAGATGACGCCTTCAAGATCAGTTGTATTACCAATATTACTGAAGCCATCCATTTAAAGTATTGATCGCATTTCACTTATTTTGTTCAATTGTTTGTGATCTCGGAATGGTCTGTACGATGATTCTTGACGATGAATTGTGATTCCAATAAATAGCTTTTGCTGACCGATCTTATCTATTTCTGTTTCTAGAAACTCAGACATGCATGACACTTCTTCGGAAAATGTGAGTTCACTTGCTCGTATATTAAAGGTTTTCACAACTGTTTAATAAAAAAAGATCACGTTGTTCACGTATCTGGTGTCTATCAAGTGTGAAAAAAAAACCGCTTCACAAGCAACGATCAGACAATAGATGGCTTCAAGTCTCACAGGCTAAGATGATTTTTTTAACATTTTAAATGGAACAATTAAATTGAATCGTAATTGTATAATAAAATCGATTCGTTGAAAACTCGGGGTATTGTGTAGAAGCAAAATTTTCTTTTTGATTTATATAAACTTTACAATTTAAATCAATTCGAAATTGAAAAATTCGAGAAAACTTTTTATTATTAATAACAGAGAAATGTTAGTATAACATTTGATTTATTTAAGAGGCAGATAGATAGAGAATAAGAATACTTAAATGCTTTTAATGAATTTTTAAATAAAGAAAAATATTGCACAAAGTAAGTCACTAAAAAAAAAAAAAAAAAAAGAAAAATAGTTATAGAAAACTCAAAGCAAAACTCTGAGCAAAACATTTAACATAAATAACTTTAAGGCACTTAAAATTGTTGAAAAGTTAAGCGGGTTTTTTCAAGAAAATCTTATTAACGTTAATATTGGTACCAAGGTTGACGACGCACCCATTGCAATCGGTTCGTGTGATCTGAACGTATTTTAATGCTCGCTCCCTCTGCAGCCCGTACAGTTTCTTTAACCTACAGTTACAGGCAAACAAACAGTATGTAACGATTATGTATTAAAATTTAAACACTTTCTAAACTCAACTTACACTTTGCATTAAATTTTGGGCATTGCCTACTAACATTTCGGTAGCTTCACGATCTTCATCTGACCCTTGAGCACCTAACATGGTAGCCTTAACAGTGCTAAGGATCTTTAATTGCGTTCCGATAGTGGGTATGCGTTCGCAAACTTGCAATAAGTTCGTACGTATGCGCCGATCAGTGCACTGACGAGCTAACTCTTTAGCCAATCGGGTAACATCTTCTGAGGATTCGGCTATTTGTTTGGCAGTTGCTATTAACTCGCGTTTGCTGCCGCGCGAGTCCGATTGTACTAAATCGGAAAGACGCGCCATCAAAATGGCCATACGTTTGGCAGCCGCTATGATTTCATTATCTTTAGAGGACCATTGACGTACTTCTTGGTGAAGTCCACGTGCAGCTATCTATATAAGTAGATGCAATTGATCATTGAGTGTTAACTTTTCATTGTTTCATTAGTAAATTTACCAAAATTGGTTGATTGGGTTGAGGCACGGCACGAAATACGCCCTCATCCTCATCATCGGTCTCTGGCGGAGGTGGCCTTTGCGGAGGTATGCCTTCGCGTGGCAGTGGAGGCCTTGGAGGGGCGCGATCAACTGCGAAAGAATGACTTAAGGTGCGTTTTTACTTCATAATTATTCCGATTTTTACCTTCATTCAAATGTAAGGCACTTAACTCTGGAATAGGTGGGGGTGGTGGTAAGTCGGGTAGTGGAGGAGCAGGTGGTGCTATAGCCGAACGCACGTCTTTGACATCAGCTAAGAGCTATTACAAAAATTCGAACTTGTTATTCAATTAACATGCTTTTCTCTTTGCTCTTACCCTTTGGAAAGAGTTTTTCCAAGCTTGTGCAGCTGCCGGATCATTTATGTTAGTCGCCACGCGCTTAGCATCTCCCACCATAGCGGGCAATGAATTCTCTAGTCGATTAGCAGCTGTATTTAACTTCGCGGTAAATTGAGGATCTTCTGAATTATCAGCTTCTTGTTTAGCCACCAGGAGCACGCGATTAATTAGACGAGCTATATTTGAAGTGTTGTCTACCATTTTTTGCGGCTGTTTAGCATGGATGGCATCTTCACAGAGTTTCGCATACATTTGCATGTGTTCCTCAGACGTTTTAATAAACTCAGCTGGATCGGTAGCCTGGTCACATAGGGTACGCATACGTAGGACTGTGTCCGCATATTGTTGCTTAAGATTTTGTAAATGTTCATCGGCTGCTTTGCTAGCTGGATAATTCATACGTATGCGTCCAGCGTTGATAAGCTGGGGTGTCATTGAGTCCACTTGACCAGCCGAGGACAATAGAATTTCGGCTATCTTTTTATTGCCGCAAGCTCCACCGGCCGCTACCATACGGGAAGTCTTTGAGGCGCGATCAGAAAAAGCTTGTAGATTGTTGGATCTCTGATTGAAATTCTGTTCCCTTCCCGGAGTACCTTCGGGTAGCATAACTGCATCCGTAAATTGTTTTAGCGGTGTACTAACATCCATAAAGTCTTGCACGATGCGATTAACTAGGGCGTTTTGTACGGCGGCTTTCAGTTCGTGCAATTTCATAGTAAGCTTTTTGGCCGCCTCTTTCGCCGCGGGAGTATGGCCGCCAGCTTGGCGTTTTAAACGTTCCACCTCATCACACAATTGCATGATTTCAGCCTTTTGATGGCCAGGACAACCTTCAGCCACTTTACGGCCTTCTTCCACTATTAAACTGACGGCCCGTTCGCCTAAACCGCCATCATTCAATTCAGGGTTTTGAAGCCATTTAACAGCTTGTTCCAATCTGCCCTGTATAGTATGTGCTGTCTGTTGTACTCCTGCCTTATCCACACCAATTACAGCATTACGAATCAAATGTTGCATATCGCCTAATTTTTCGCGTATACTACGGGCTAAGGATTCCGCTTGGGGCGTGGTACCTTTGCCTTCCTGTCGCAATTCGCATAAACCATTAGTCATGGCAGTAATTTCATCAGCTAACCGGCGTATTGGATAAGAATCTTGGGGCAAACAACGCTCTGAGATCTCGCTAGCGTTATCAATAATTTGACGCAATGCTTTCTCGCCTACCCCTCCTCTCAATGCGTACGGATTATTGAGCCAGTCGTTCGCTAATTCGCTTTTATTATGAATAGCATTGCTCAGCTTTTTCAGCACCGTCAAATTGTCCAATTCGCTTGTGTCCTCATCGTAGGTAGTTAACTGAAGAACACGTATAATTTCCTGAATTTCATCGCTCATGCGCGAGGCCAAATAATTGCGATTTTCTGCTGCCTCTTCTACACCTTTACCTTGCTGCTCTACTATATGTATATAAACCTTCATGCTGCAGATTAGTATTGGAGCCAAAATCTTAACTTGCTCTAGGCAACGCACCAAAATTTCACTATGCACCTGATGTGTAAGCTCCTTTTCACGGGCACTTACCTTCTGCGATACTTTACTTAACCATGGCGATAAGTCTTTAAGAAATTGCACTAGATCCTCCATGGTATTGATGACTTCAGCGACTGCTAAATAATCGAGTACACGTTTGCATTCTTGTATAATTTTGCGCACCTCCGATTCATCGAAGCAAAGCAATAGCGATGAGGTGCCTTGCAGTATACCGCGGCTTCCTTCTATCAGCTTTTTACGTGCAGGTCCCGAATAGGGATCAACACGCAACATATCGGAGGCTTCTTCCAGTAACTGCGAAGCAGTCTCAACGCGTTGCAATGCTGGTGGCATATCTTGACGCAGAATTTTGTCATCCGAACTGTTAATGGTATCACGACCGACTTTCACCAAGTTTGCGACAGCGGCTGAAACAACCTGCACTGGTCGACTGAGATCAGGCATAGCATTTCCATCTTCGGCTTCTTCATGCAGAATAACTAAGCGAGAAACCTAAAAAGATTTAAACAAATTAACAACAAAAATGAAACTTATGTCTGCCTTAGAGCGTATCTTTGATACCTACCGCTGCATATAAATAAATTTAAATTTAAAAACATTTTCTTAAATGTAAGAGAGTCAATTGAAGAATAAATTTTATTAGCACTTAGATCAACATCTTCTACACATGTTTTTAAACAAATTAAGCTCATTTTTTCTCTTAAACGCTCGATTGCCTTCTTAAGTGTTTCGACTTAATATCTGTAAGCTTACTCTGTGAAACATATTTGCTTTTACATTTGCCGTGCGAAACTCAACTAATAGTGCGCAACTCAAAACAACGGAAAATTGCCATCGGCCGATATATCCAAAATCGAACGACTTAATAAGTCATCGCTGGTAAGATTTTCCCAATAATCGATCTACTAGCCTATTAAGGGTATATTCTATAGAATCGATCTTATAGGGCTAATTACCATTTCGGCGAAAGGTCGTTACTCTGAATATCTCCGAGCCATCCTGCAGACTATGTCAAGAAGTTCTTGCTTCCAAGCTAATTGAATGCATTTGGCGTCGATAACAATTTTGTTGGATTCATACCGAGTTTTAGAAATACGATAACGGTTGCAATCGACACATTTAGCTTCAATAAAGAAGAGGGGGATCTCCTTTGCTTAGGTCAATGTAACATAGACGGATCGATAGCTCTTGATGTTTTCAGCATAAAAATACAAAATAATTTTTATGGCACAGAAGATGCACCCGAAGGGTGGAAAGAAGTCAAGGATAGATAGATTTCATAAAGCGCCGCAAGAAACAATCCACTGCAGCCAACATTTCCGCCGTTCACTTCGCCTGTCTTCTTCTATGTGTGTAACATCTAGGACAAGGACTTACAACCTTTTATTGTGCCGATCGATCGAGAAAGTGATTCGATCTAAGCTTGCCTGTCTGCCTTGTATTGCTGTGGTCAAACTGCAGATCGTAGCTTTTCACATATTTTGATGAATTGTGGTACACCGACTTGGCTTAGCCCAAGAACAATCGGTCCGTCGTTCTATGAATATCTATATTAAGCGAAATAGTGCAGGTGGGCCGTGGCGCACTATTATGTTTTTGCTTGTTGTTCTATGTTATAGAAAAATGCTCTCACGAGGTTACATGACCTCTTAACTTAGATGTGATATTCGAAACTTTACGTTTGCTAAAGCCATTGATAAACCCTTTAAGCCTAAAACAAGAAATGTTATATGCAAACGTTTGACACCTTATTCCATTATTGTTACGGACTAATAATATAAATACTTGAAAAGGTCTTCTTACGAGTTGTAAACAATGGACAAAATTAATTTACTGTTTGTGTCGTACGTCACGACATGTCGTCGTTATATCCGTCGTTGCGGTGCGAAAATAATCTTTAATCTATAACGAGATGCGACAGTCGTATAAAAAACAAAAGTAAATACAAATATTTATAATGATTGCAAGATAAGAAGTGTTACACGTTGTAACGAACTACATTCCAATGTCAGCTTTTACTTTGGCTCATGCTTGTATCAAGGGCAGTATTATATTAAATTGCTTACCTTAGCACAGCATATACAGAATCACTTGTGTCTCGTATGTCGCTATTGCGGGTATGCCAGCAGTAAACCCAAGTTAAAAGAAAAGTAAAAAGAAAGCCCTATGGGCCACGGCCCACCATTAAATACTCCAGGCTGTGAAGATAAATTCGAATTTAACTACCAAAGACACCTACCATTTCTGTTAACAAAACCCTGCTAACGTCTTAGCAGTGCTCTGTTAAATAATTACATATGAGATATAGCTGGATTTGAAAGCCTACTCCGTCACAATATTAAAAAAAGGAAAATGTTTTTGTGGACATTTCATGAATCTATATGAAAATACGTTTCAAACAAGCTAAACAAATTCAAATTCTGCCTATGGGAGCTATATTTCACGGTGTTTTGATATCTGGTATGTTAACGAAAAATGGATATGGGATAACGGGCAAATTAGAGACTCTAGTGCGGCCAAATTAGAAAATGTCACCTATATTCACATGTATCACGTGAATCTATATAAAAGTACCTATCGATTGAGCAAAAAAAATTCACACTTTGCTTTCAGCAACTATTTTTGCCGATTTTTTGAAATTTGGGATCTTACCATAACATAGCTATGGGAGAACACCCAAATTTGTCACTCTGGTGCGGCCAAACTAGAAAATGTCGCCTATATTCACCTATATCACATGAATCTATATAAAAGTACCAAAAAATTCAGACTTTTCTTTCTACACTATACTGTAGTACAATAATTTTCAGTACAAAATCCACTATACTGTAGTACAATAATTTTCAGTACAAAATACACTATACTGTAATATACCGTAGTACAGTAATTTTCAGTACAAAATCCACTATACTGTTGTACAATAGTTTTCAGTACAAAATACACTATACCGTGATATACCGTAGTACAATAATTTTCAGTACAAAATCCACTATACTGTAGTACAATAATTTTCAGTACAAAATGTTCTATACTGCAGAACAACATTTTTCAGTACAAAGTGCACTATACCGTAGTATACCGTAGTACGATAATTTTCAGTACAAAATCCACTATACGGTAGTACAACATTTTTCAGTACAAAATGCGCTATACCGTAGTATACCGCAGTACAATAATTTTCAGTACAAAGCACAATATACCGTAGTACAGTAATTTTCAGTACAATATACACTATACTGTAGTACAATAATTTTCAGTGTAAAATACACTATACTGTAATATACAGTAGTACAATAATTTTCAGTACAAAATCTACTATACTGTAGTTCAATAGTTTTCAGTACAAAATGCACTATACCGTAGTATACAGTAGTACAATAATTTTCAGTACAAAATCCACTATACTGTGGTACAGTAGTTTTCAGTACAAAATGCACTATACCGTAGTATACAGTAGTACAATAATTTTCGGTACAAAACACAATATACCGTAGTACAGTAATTTTCAGTACAAAATCCACTATACTGTTGTACAAAAGTTTTCAGTACAAAACACACTATACTGTGATATACCGTAGTACAATAATTTTCAGTACAAAATGCACTATGCTGTAGTACAACATTTTTCAGTACAAAATAAACTATACCGTAGTATACTGCAGCACAGTAATTTTCAGTACAATATACACTATACTGTAGTACAATAATTTTCAGTACAAAATCCACTATACTGTAATATACCGTAGTACAATAATTTTCAGTACAAAATCCACTATACTGTAGTACAATAGCTTTCAGTACAAAATACACTGCACTGTAGTACAATAATTTTCAGTGTAAAATACACTATACTGTAATATACCGTAGTACAATAATTTTCAGTACAAAATCTACTATACTGTAGTTTAATAGTTTTCAGTACAAAATACACTACACCGTAGTATATCGTTGTACAATAATTTTCAGTACAAAATCCACTATACTGTAGTACAGTAGTTTTCAGTACAAAATGCATTATACCGTAGTATACCGTAGTACAATAATTTTCGGTACAAAATGCACTATACTGTAGTACATACATATGTAGTATATATACTATATATACTATACCCATTTTTCGCTAACATACCAAATTTCAAAAAATTGTTAAAAACAATTCCCGAAAGAAATTTCTGAATTTTTTTGCTTATTCGGCAGGTACTTTTATATAGATTCACGTGAATATAGGTGACATTTTCTAGTTTGGCCGCTCTAGAGTCTCAAATTTGGTTGTTCTTTCATATCCATTTTTCGCTAACATGTCAAATTTCAAAACACTGTTAAAGATAGCTCCTAAAGGCAGATTTTAATTTGTTTAGTTTGTTTGAAAGGTATTTTCATGAAATGTCCACAAAAATATTTTTCTTTTTTTAATACGGACGGAGTAGGCTTTCAAATTCAACTATATGTCGATTGTAATTATTTAACAGAGCACTGCTAAGACATTAGCAGAGTTTTGTTAATAGAAATGGTAGGTGTCTTTGCTAGTTAAATTCGATTTTATCTTCACACCCTTTAAATACTCTACACTATCCTACAATTATTCATATGATGACTTTTTACAATAAGGATTTATATAAGAAATGATGGATAAATTGATCCGATTCGTATCATTTTCAATACCATTTGTATTTGGGTCAAAAAACAAACCAGTGTATCAAATTCTGTTAAAATATCTTTAAAATTCTGACGAAAATTGTAGGTTGAACACAAGAAAACAATACCGGACAGACGGACAGACAAGCTTAATTCGATTCAGAAAGTGATTTTGAACAAATCGGTATAAGAGTGATAAGAGATAAGTCTATCTCAAGTTCTTCTGGGTGTTGCATGCATACGCACAAACTAAATATACCGTTGTATTATAAGTAGTATAGGGAATGAAAAGGAATAAATTATCTTTTAATTCACTATACATAAATATGTTAAATATTTGTATCATATTGACACTTGCGCTTCATAAATTCTCTTATATGGTAACGTTTAAAATCAACTTAACTATTGTATATTTGCAAAAATAAATATTAAATTAGTCTGCTTGCAGTTATTGCGGCATACATAAGCTATTTATTTATATCGTAATGATCAGGTGTTCATATATGTATGTACATGTATATGATACATGCATACGCGTACGTTTATACAAGATCAATGTCATATAGTAGCCTACGCGTTTTTTGTCAGATTTTTTATTTGTTTACCTTTAAGAAACAGACATCCGTACAATCGCTACTCTTTTTTTTCTTTAATAATAAACAAAAAAAAATAATAAAAATAAATAACAACTGATTGTGGTTACAAAAGCATTTTAAACGAAAGTCATTTTAAATATTCGAACTGAGTGGGTGGGTTAAATTGCTTAATAGCTTCAATACAGAATTGACTAGAATTCATTCATATTTTCACTTTTTCTAAATGGGTAGATGACGGGGGTAGTGGGCAAAAAGGAAGAATGGGAGAAACATTGTTAATATAACTACGGAACCGTTTTTTTATATAATGAGGACAAATAAACTGTTTGAAAACATATGATAATAAAGAACTATATTCCAGTGATTATTGGTAATTTTTCGTCTTTTGTTTTTTATAGCCCCTAACAAAGAAGGCAGGTACTTATTAAATTTGTCAAAACGTTTGCAATTCCCTACAAAATACTCCATAGAGAGATATATAGTTTTTCGTGATTAGCATCAAAATCCTCATATGGTTTAAATATGTCCGTCTGTCCGCCTGTCTGCAGGTCTGCAAATAAGCATTTTGAAATCAAATTTCGAGTTGTGAATCGCTGACAATATTACAGAGGATGTTTGCCAGATTAAGTGCAAGAAAGTATAAGAAATTCTTGTTGATTTGCGATTTTATTTATCAGTTTTTTACCACAATTTCAATGACTTTCGTTTCTGGGCCGAAACACGCCCATATATTAAATATTTTGAAAAAAAGCAACTCGTAGATTGAACATAAAAATACATGGGCTACACTGACGGACAGACATATTTAGATAGATTTTTATAAATATAATTGTAAAGAATGGGTCGACAAGGGGTCCTTCTTGGTATTGCATATGTCCGCACAAACTCAATGTACTCTTACCATAAGTAGTGCAAATTAGTAATAGTATTTTGGAAATCTAAATTAGCATGGAAACTTTGGATCGAATGGATCGGTTTCCTCCTCCCTGGAAACTAAACCTTTGCACGATAAAAAACCGAATTTTCAATACTTCTTCATGGAAATTCATTCATTCATAATACAAACAACCTTAGCGAATGTGGACCAGATAGGTCAATTTTTTTGGATTCCAACTCATATAAGGATTCTAATGAAAAATGACACTTAAATGTGTCAAAAAGGTCTAATTTTTAATATTTTGTGATGAAACTTTGTCCTTAGCGAATCGAACACAGGGAATTTGAATCACATAGGTCTATTCTTTAGGCCGTACCATATTTATAGGCTCTCATGAAGCAACTGGCAAAGTCAAAGTTGTGGTTTGTCATAACGGAAGCAAGTAGAAAATAATAACAGCATCTGTGGCCAGTAAATTAAGTTTGCTAAATTTGGCCTATGTCAATTTTGACGTTCTGAGTACCCTCGATTATAAGGGCTTTCGTGGAAATTATGCATTTACCTAAAAATAATGTACAATTTTTGATGTGATTAGTAAAAAAATGAGTGAATGGCTGGCTGTACGAGCTAAAGCGGTGTACAGTGTCTAGTAGTCGACCTTGACCGACTATAGCATATTGATTTGTTTTTGTTTTTTTGTTAAAATAATTCTTATTTATAGAATCTAAAAAGAAAGAAATTCAAGTCCAACATAAAAGAAATAACTGGCGTAAGAGAAAATGCTTTAAAAGTGACGTGAGCTTCTATCAGCTCAAAAACTTATTATTTTTCGAAATATGTATCTTTCAACGCCAAATGCTAATAAAAAAATTAAAAATTATTTATCGATTCACTTAATTATACTTGTAAAACTTACCTGTTGTGCTACAGGATCTAAAATGCTCTCGATGGTTTTTGTATGAAAAACTGGCATTTTACCAAAATTTGTTTTGCTTATTGATTAATTTTTAATTCTCCTTTTTTCTTTTCAATTGTTTTTTTTTTTTTTTTTTTTTTCTTTTATTAATTTTAATATTTATTATGTGTATCCACAAATGCTCTAAAATAAAAGTAAATAAAATTTTCAATATTTATTCTAACATTAATAAGACGGATTAATTTTTTTGTATGCGTTGCTTGCTTTGGTTTTTCATTTTGTGTTTTCTTTATTTTTTTATAAATTTCGTTATTTATTTATCTCTAAAAAAATTCTGTTATCCATTACTAACGGATAGGAGGTATATACTAAGCCGATTTAAGCACGTCCGTCCGTCCGTCTGTATGTGTAATGACTGTGGTTAACACTTTCCTGATCGCAAACATGCAGCTATCGGCTTCAAATTCGGCAAGAACATTCAAATTTATTGTACGCAGATTGTTATTGAACGTTGAACTAATCGGTCAAAGGATACGATCGCAGTACAACATAATTTGAGATCATTTCTGTTTTCAAAAATAAATAAAATTTGGTTTTTCATCTTTTTCTTAAAGACCGCAACAGATCCAACGATAAAAGTATGCATTTATATTTTATAGGTGGTCCTGTAGCGTCTGGAGAAAAATGGAAAAAATCGGTCACGTCTACTCAAACGTTGGCAGCACCCAGATATAAGCTTCAGAGACCTTATAAAATCTACATGTTATTAATCAGTAACAAATTTGAATCGTTTTAGCAATGTTTGTCAGTTTCGTCTGTCCGTCTTTCCATCTGCCTTTAAATTGGCTGTAGCAAAGATGTTCATAGGCCGAAAGATTGAGATATCTGCTTCAGTATTATACTATATAAATTTCCACTTGTATTTTACAAAAATTGAGAAAATTAGTCACGCCCACCCAAGGTTGTAGAGTGTGGAAATTCAATTTTTTCCCCTTATTTTGAGTCTTTTTTTTTTTTTTTAGAATAACCAAATTTAAAAATCAGCTAAATCTACGACTAGAGATTTATCGCTTAATGGTGCTTATGTTAAGGTTTCCGTTAATCTGGTTTTTTTATCGACTTTTATTTTTACTAATTCAATAATTGAAAGCCCCCAGAGGGCATTTGCGCCTTCTGTGTGTTCAATTAATCATCATCTTAATATGAAAACAGGGCCTAAAATAAATATAACTTTGATAATTATAGAATTTTTAATGGATGATCGTCTCGGAAGGGTCTATTCATACGCCTTAAAAACATGGGCCAATTGTCTAGATTCTATACGAATGATGCATCTTGATGCATCTTTCGGGCGATTATAAGTATTTTAATTTGATGTTAAAGCGAATAAAATTGTTGTGATCGAAGGGGAATTTTGATAAGAAATTCGGATCTTTTGTTGTAGGAATGTCCATTATATGGCGGCAATTTGCTAGACTTTAGTAAATTATTAATTATTGACAGAGGCAGTCATACTTAGCCGCCCAGCGGTTTACAGAAGTTAACGATATCCGAAATGAGTTCGCCTCCAAGCTGGTAAATTTCTACCGCGAGGGTATTCATAAGTTACCTAAGTAAAGTTGAATTTTATCAAGAAACAAAAGGAATTTACTCGTACACCCATTGATACGTTGTTAAAATGAGTTGGAGTAAATGTCGTGATATAAACTTATAAATACCGAATCAAAAAGAGTCACTCCAGTTCTTCGCCGTCTTTCCTCATGATTAAATGCTTTGTGCGTACGAGAATGACGCATCCTTATTGAAATGAATTTAGCAGAATACGTTGAAAAGTTAATTAAAATCAATCAATTTTTATACCCAGCAACAAAGGAGGGAAGTCTATTAGTTATCTCCTTCGTTTGGTAACACTTGACTTTAAGTATCGGTAGCTCTCTAAAGCGTATGTACATTCTCAGTTTGTATAAAATTACCGAATTAAAACTCTGTCTGTCCATATGTCCGTCGTTATTGAAACGCTTGAATGGGAAATATTGACAAAGGTATGAAATGAATCTTGGCCTCCGAACTGTTAGTTGAAAGATATAAATCACGTTGAAACATTGATGCGATCAGCGCCCACAGCACACATACATTAAACAAAACAATTCCCGCGTATAGATAGAATCTATGTCAAATATCGATTTAATACTTGGTAAGAGGTATTCTTAGGGCGATTAAAGTAATAATGAATCTAAAAATGATATTGAACGATTATAATTAATACAATCACACACAATCAACGCAATTACTTTTGACTTTTCTATATCGGTTTTAGGTGGGTTTAGTATCATAAACATTTGCCAAAGGATGAATGTAAATTTCTTTGTTGTTCTCTATTCTTTACGTTTTCAACGCTGTAATTATGAAACACAAATACATAGACAATATGCTTATAATGTTTGACCGAATTTCGTTTTCGATTGCATTAAGCAATAGTGTTGTTTGTCGTTGTAGTTGCTGTACTTGCAAAACTATACATGAAATTGCAAACAGCATAGAATATTGCGTTGAATTTTGTGCATGTAACTGGATACGTTGTAAAATTTGAACGCATACTCATTCATGGCTTATGGTATGCAATTTATTTAAAAAGCCATTATTCAAGCATACTTCAAACAAGATTTATTTATGCAAATTGTATTAATAAACATAAATGAGTTACAATTTTTAATAATAATAAAAAAAAAAATCCTTTTTCTATTTTTTTAATTCCAATAAAATGTGAATTTTGCGCGCATTCATATCGATAGCAAATATCATATATTCATATATATTGAAAATTTTATACGACATATATCGTGAATTGCAATATATGGGTATAGTTATTTGCCTCTAACTATTGGAATAGGCGAACAAAAAAAAAAAAAAAAATTACGATTCTCTTTTATTCACATATCATGGGAATTGTGCGCCAATAGCTGGCGCACTATCGACGACACTGCATTATTTTCATTACAGATGCATTTCTTACTTTTGCATAGTCTACTGAAAATATTATAATATTAAATTTGTCACCAAGCTTATCATAACCATGGAACTAACCGTAGAACTATGGATGAATTTACCTTTCATCGTTTATTACTCGAATTTTCTGTTATAAAAACGTGAGTGAAAGCACCATAGTGTACCACGGTCCATCAATCAATATCCTACAATACTTCTCTTCACACAGTTATTTATATAACGCCTCTTCAAAATAAGATGCTATATGAAAAGCGGTCAATAGACTAGCACTATTCGAACTATTTTGCAATAGTTTTCGTCCTTGGGCCAAATTCCATGAAAATATCTCAACAATTTGCGACCTGTAGGCTGAACACCAAAAAAAAAACAAGGCGAAAAAACGGACAGATACGCTTAAATCAATTCAAATAGTTGCTCTGAATCGATCTCAAGTCCTCAGAAGTCGTGTAAGGCATAAAAAGTTATACATGCATATCCGTTAAAGATCAAATTTTAATAGATGAACGTGTGCGTGGTTCGTTCAATAAGTTGAAGATAACATTTAGAATAAACGAATATTTGTCCACTGTTCAGTAGACGAGGCAATACAGGCTAAAAATAATGGAGACTCTTGAGCGTGCTTGAGAGAACAGTTTAAAGTGTTCGCTAGATCAAAATATTGATATTTATTTCATTCATTCGATTTGCACTCATGAATTTAGTGTACGCATGTATTTGATATGCGTACACCGTACAAACAACTTACGAACCATTCTAAATACAAATGCGGCACGCTACCAAGAATGATTGAGTTTCGTATTTTACTGTTACAAAGCTTTATTAACAGTGGCAAACACGGAGCGAGAAAGCAAGAAAATTACATTCATATTAATAATCCGTAGGAAGTCCACGGCATTTTGTTAATTGTGGGTTATGTTATTTAGTCGAGCAGGAAATTTTTGAGAAACATTTTTAACAAGTTTTAGATCGACATCTACTGAAGTTGCAATCTCTTGCCTATTTCGCACCAAGGTGCAGATCTTTTTTTTTTCTCAAGCTAGATCGAGGAAAATTATCTGGCAGTTTGTGCAATTTCAGGTTTTTGTATATTTCGTTCCAATAACCGGACAATAGGAACAATAAATATCCTTTATATTGCTTTGAATGCTGAGTATTATAACCCATCCGTCTTACAGTGACAGATGTGAAGATAAGCTAATTATTTCCCACGCTTGCAAGACAGGACGACTTCACTAAAATATTTGAAAACTTATTTTATCTTTTTTTGTACAGCAGAGATATAATATATAATAAGTTATTTTCCTTTTAATTTTTTCCACTGTTTAATAAAACTCAACCGTCAAAATCCAATGTCACCTTTCATGTAAAGAAAGCTGTAATAATAATAAATATACTACCATGCATCACATATATACATTATATTATTATTATTATCATTTGCGATGAGTAATGCAATGCATGTAATGAATATTACAGAACAGAATGCCAAAATTAGTCGACCACTGGTCGATATAAAAATCGCTTGCCTCATATATACGAGCATACAGTTTGGTGGGTGTAGCCTTGCAAGGATGCGCTCGTAAATACAGTCTTTATATTATTAAATTACTTTTCATTGCATAAAGAACATTTTTATAATACATATGTGACGTCATTGTTTTGTCATCGATACTCGGTAAGAAAATTTGAATCACAAATTTCCTTAAGCATATGTTATCTCATTGTTTATTTACATTATTGCATTGCATTATAGCTTTTATTTATTTATTTATTAAATTTTTTTTTTTTTTTTTTTCTCTTTGCTTCAGTACAAGACACGTCAGGAGATAAAATTGCATTTATAATTAAGTAATTTTTATAAGATACAACATGCGAACAAGTAAAATTACATTTAATTAATAAGAAAATTCTTATACTGTTTATTACCGTTAGAGTAATAAGTTCATTAATTTACTCTGTTTGAATTTATAATTTATAATACTAATTATATTATTTAAAATGTAATTGTATTAATAAAAGCATTTAGATGAACTCTACTCAAGCATTCTTTATAAATCAAATTAATTTTGAATATATTTCATAAGAAGCCATAACG